GCGGCCCCCCTCCCCCCGCGGCACCGGGGGCACGACAAAACCACAACCATTCTCTTTTCTTTACTCTTATTTTTTTTTTTTTTTTTTTTTTTAATTAATTGCAAGAGCTATCTGTATACCCATACAGTGCTGAATTTCTGCCTTATTTTTCTGTTTGTGTATATGTACGTATATATGTTATGAGATTAGTAAAAAAATCTTATTTTTTAAAGTTGTCAAGTAAGATTTGTGGTGACTGAGAACATCAGAAGTTAATTAAAGTAATTGCAATGTAGGCAGAAATTTAAGCGTACAGATTTTTTTTTCATTAAAAAAATTGTACGTAAAATGTTTTGCATGTCTCCCAAGTTTTTGAAATCTAAACGATTGACAGTGTCCTGTTATTTTGATAAACGTCTTCTGTGCATAAAATAATCATCACATCCTGAATTTATTAAAGGGCTGAATATTCAAAGAGCATGCAAACGAAGACCCAGAAAAGCTACCAGTAAGGGAAATGGCTACATCTGTGAAAGAAAGGTACAATAAAAAAAATAGGTAGAATTAAGTTACTAAACAGTGATGCCTCCTGTTAGCTGTTCTGTTTAAGGAACATTATCTTTTACCGTTATCTTCCGAAGAAAAATAATGCACGGCACATGCAATTCTGTATGGTTTATTCTAGGTTAATATTGCTGTACTTTACACATTCAATAAACAGAGACATTTGGTTTGTGGTTTGAAAAATTGCCAGAGAGATAAATTTGGTAGCAATGAGTGCCAAAGTGCCTTCAAGTCTTTTTACCTTAAGTTGAGGGTAGTCAGTACCCTACTGAATCAAGCTCATAATTTGTAATAATCTTTCCTTCTTTCCACATAAGCACTAGCAATTGCACCATAAGCCACATGTAGTGCACCTCGCATTGCAGAAGCTAGTAATAAGGGAGCAACATGATGTGTGGTAACAGGACACCCCAGGAACCAGTCTAGTATCACAGTCAGTTCTTCTGGTAAAAGTTGTTTTAGTCACGGTTTCTTAAGTTACAGTCTGCTGTCTATTTAAATATAATTCATTGACAGTGCTGTTGTTCCGTTGAAGGTCTAGAGTTTTTTTTACGTTATTTGTTCTTACAGTTTCAGAGCCACATGCTGCAGCCCATGGCATGAATATGGCTGGTGAATTCTCTGCCTCTCTCTAGTTGAGTAAAAGCTTCAGGACCAGTCCCTAAATCCTATACCCAGGGGTTTTCAACCTCTTTTAAGGAGTGTACCCCTTCTGGTACACCTCTGGCAGGAGCGGGGGGTCTAGCACACGGCAGTGTCGCCGTGTCCAAGCTCCCCCACACCGTGGCCAGCTGGCTGCATGGCCTGCAGGGGGGAGCTGCTGTCCTCACCCCTCCGCCCAGCCCTGCTCCTGGGATGCAGCGGCATTTGGTGGTGGACATCCCCGGCCGCCCACATGTACCCCTTAGTCCCTTCCCAAGTCCCCCTGGAGGGTACGTGTACCCCTAGTTGACAATACCTGCTATACCCCAAAACTGTCTCAGAGGAATGTCTGTCTTTCCAAAACGTCATACTGCAATTACTGTTATGCTATTTAAAATAGAAAATTAATTTTCATGTAGCATAAAATCACCCTGGCTGCTTCTTTAAGCATCATTTAGAAAGTGTCATCTGAAATGTGAAATATAGTTTGTCAGTCTTCAAATAATACATATTAAAATTTGAAAGTCAAAGCTGTCTTGAGAGAATAAGATGCCTGTTCTCTTCTATCTTAATTAAAGTCCATTTCTTAGCCTTTCTGAAGATTTAGAAACTATCTCATATTTCAATTAAGCAAATTATTTAATTTTTTTTATGCAGCACATATTTTTAATTATCTGAATGTAAATTTTAAAGCAATTAAAGATTCAAATGGATTTGTTCTTCCAATATTATGATTTAGTTTATTTCTTTTTGCAACAATTTTCATTAGCATATTGCCTAGTAGAAATAGCTTTTAATTTTAAGTAATAATTATGATCTACATATTTAGACCCTACATACTTAATACACTAAATCATGTGTTGCCTTATTGTTTGTGAAAGGAAACACACAGCCAGCATTGCAAGTCAGGACTCTATTGTATTGTTTGTGGAGCTGAAATATTACCAAAAGCAGAAGGTAAGACTTTTGTTAACCATTTTATTTCCCATTTTCATTTTTCATTTTGATTTGGGAATGAGGGAAATTGCACAAATTTTCTTTACCTCGCATCTCTGTATATTGGAAATATATTTTAGAATGATCATTAAATAGTTGATCAGATACCATTCATTTGCTTATTAAAAGGTAAGAAAGATTTATTTTTCACCAAAGCTGACTTTTTACCTGGGGCCTCATTGCTACCTAAATCAGCACAGGTAAAACCATGGATGGTTTTGCCTGGCAAACAGTATTTCTACTGTTACTTGCATGGACCATTTTTTTTGGTTTTAGAGACTGGCTAGTAAATAATGCAGTGCCAACCTGAAAAGTTGTAGCTTGCGGAAACAGCCTCTCAGCCATGCTAATTAGCACTGACAAAGGCCCAAAGTGTTATTTTTATAAGGAAAATATCACGGTTCAAACATGCTTTGCTGTGTGGCCATGTTTGTATTGACATAGTCCTCCCAGCCTTCCTTTTAATTCATTTGTCGTCTTAACCCTCAATTGTTGTGGGGCTTCAGAAACAGGTTAAATATTCTTTGACTGTGACTTGACTTGTGGTTGTGAGGCACTTAAATTCTGGGGAGTCCAAATACTGACGGATAGTAATAATGATTTTGCTGCCCATCTGTAGGTATTGCATGGTCATGTTACTATACCCTGTGCATGGGCCATGGGCTTAGCATCAGCACTCACTGATGTAGACATAGAGGTAATGAAGCATGTAAAAACCCTTAATCTTTAACCCAAACCTTAACCCTTCCACCAAAACATGATGCGTGAAATGAAAGTATTTTGAAACTTTGCAGTACTTCAGCATTAGCAGGCACCATAGTGACACCACCAGATACCCATCAGGGCCATTCTAGTGCAAATTTCAACTGGGTGCTAGTAGCCCCTGTTTCTCTATAGCAGAGAGTTGGTATGAGGGCAGTCTTTCTTTATACCCTCAAGCTTTTGAAGTCACCTGAGCTTTGAAGCCAGAGCCCCACTCATTCTCCTCCTCCACAGAGGACCGATGAGAAATGACATGCACAGGCAAATGTTGTCAAAGGGATGGAGATATGCTCCCTTACTGCAACGGTTTGTTTAGGGTTGATGCCCAAACAGGCTGTTGGGTTACACAGAGCTCTGACAAAGTTCTTTTTTTAAGCTACCACCCCCACTGAATCTGTTCATTCCTGTAATTTAATTTTGGACCTTAGAGAAGGCAGATGGAAATGAAGTGACAGACTGGTCTTCTTTCCATTTTGTCATCTGGGGAAAAAACATCTTTCAGATCCCCAAACAAAGTCTGGCAATAGGTCTCGTTGCCAGCATCAAGAGAAACCTAACTCATTAAGCGAAGATAAAGTAGATCTGGAGCAGAATCAAACTACCAACATGTCAGTAGAAACCAAAAGAGTATTAAAAAAAAAAAAAAGGGTACTTCCAGCAGTAAAAGCAAAGAAGCCACCCACCTCTACCCTGACATAACAGTTGAAGTGGGCAGGTCCAGGATGTTACGTGGTTGCCAAGTAGGAAAATCCACCCACCCTTCCTAATAGTGGACAGCTAAAGAGCAAAGGAGGCAAAGAAACCAGAAAGCAGCAGCTTTTCTATTCATCTGGCTGCTGCCGCATGGTCACCTCCATTCCCCCCAGCAACCAAAGTGGTGAGTAGAAGTAGATGTCCCCTTTCTCTCTGGACCTATAAAACCTGCACCCTGGCAAGCCAGGTACACAGTCTTACATGAATAGGGCAAAGAAAGCCCAAAGTATCTAAAGGCCCATCCATTGTCTGTCCCCATTCTTGGAGTTGCTTAGTTTAATTTTATCTACTTTCATCTGTACCCTTAAACATTAATTTGTCTAGCCTCCTATCCATCATATTATATAATCTGTAAGATGAAAATGTGTGGAATGAAACAATTCTGAAACTTTGCAGTACTTCACCATTAGCGGACACCAAAGTGGCTAATGCCAGCTGTAGGTTTTCTGCTGTTTAGACTAGCTCCCTGATGTCAGCTGATTAAAGGAAGTTAAACATCTTATCGCAGTTTTCTAAAATTAAAAGTAAATGACCTCACTCAGAATGGGTTCAGACTCACCAGTCAATTCAGTAGTGTTATAAAAAGGAAAAAAACTATGCATTTACAAGTAGGTTTGGGATACATTTAAAAAACAGAAAAAAGGCCTTGGTCCAAATTGAATTCAAGTCAGTGGAAGTCTTTTCACTTCAGTGGGTATTGGATCAGGGCCTAAAGTACTGTCTTTAAATGTGAGACGTTTGCAAGGGGGTGTGGGTTGTAGCCGTGTTGGTCTAAGGACACAGGCAGACAAGGTTCTTTGGGGAAATCTGATATCTTTTATTAGACCAACTCAAAGTTTGCAGTGCAGTCCAAGTGTACTGTACTCAGAACTGTCTATTAAAAAAGAATCTTCAACTTTTTGTATTTTAGGAATTTTGAAAAAAACTGTCTGCAGTAACACTGAACTGAAAGTAATCCAGAAACTCTTCCAAAATATAAATGTCAGAGCTACAAAGTGCCCTAGCAGTTGCATGTGTGAATTAGGTGACACTTCAGAAGATGATAACGTGGTGTTGATCATCACAGATAATGCAAGTCTTAGCCATCTGAAAGAAACTTTGAAGGTTTATCAGACTCCAGTTAAGTGTGAAGGTAAATCTTACTGATAACCAAAACATACCACATAATCCTTTACAAATTATTTAGCTTTAGATAAAACCTAACTTTTTTTTTTATTTCCAAGGATGTCTGTTTTTTGTAACATTGGTATTTTGGTGAAATTGAAAGATAACAATTAAGTCCCGCTTGACTCTTAATGCTGCAGAATATGAGTCATGCAGCGTTTTAATCAAAACAGCATTCCACCTGTATACACTTTCAGACTTTAAAATGGGGCTGAGCAGCATGAACAGATCTGCTTCCAGATCATATTATATAAAATATTTTTAAAGGTTCCTACATTCAGCTTGGGTAACTAGTAGCGTGGCTTTTGCAGCACTGTTCTCACACAAGAGGATTTTTTTAAATCCACGCTGGAGCCAAGCTTTCCCCTGATTGAATCTGGTTGTTGCAAACACAGTTTCATCTGTAGTATGGACAGGGTCTCAACATTGTTTTTTGCCCTCCTACAGCTACTGTTGTATGTTCTGAATCCTTTTTTCCCCTCACTTAATCTCTCCAGCCACTTGGTTCTTTAGTGTCTTTTGAAGAAGTACCTCAGTTTGCAATGATGTGATCAGTGCCACTTTATTACCAAGCTAAGGTTGGTATAAATGTTTTATCAGTGTTAATATTTTTACAGCCAACTACCAAGTAAAAAGATGAATGGAGTTTTCAGAAGTGCCTAGTTCACTTAGGAGTGCCAGTCTTACAAAAATAATTTCAATAGACCTTGTTTCCCTATAACGTTACAGGTACTTTTGAAAATCCCAACTCTTATCTACTGATATACCCGATTAGACCTGAGATCTGCAGTACTTTGGAATAAGGAAAGCTAGCCATCAGACAAATGTCTTCACTTAAATGGATTATATTTTGGATTATATTTCTCTCCCAGCCAGCAATAAGAATAGTAATGTTAATAACATCCAGCACCACCACCACTGCTGATTCTATACTTCTGTTTCCTAAATTTTTGGATGTTATAATTTCTTCAGGAAAAAAAAATGTCCTTCAGCTACTGATAAAGATTACCCAACAGCTGTAACAAACTTGTCTGTGTGGTCGAGGGATCAAAAATGTCTTTTCATCCAAAGATGATAAGGTTCATAAAAGGATAAATTGAAAAATGAGTAAAACACATGTTGCTCAGTCCGTGTCAGTCTTCTCTTTGTGTGAAACCCCCATCACCATCATGAAACTTGAATTAAGTGCTAACTAGACTGCATTGTCTATTATATATGATTTTGTCAAACCATTCAATTTAAAATTAATTGGTCTGCCCTTAAAATACCAGGCACCTATACCCATGCCAGACACGTGCTTCGATGCATGTTAATTGGCATGCATCAGAGTAGACTCGATTAATCGAGTCTCCTGGAGCATGCTAATTAGCATGCTCCAGCAGCCTCTGCATCACGTGCATTTAGCATTCTTGTGCTTCAAAATGGTGGTGGGGGTAATTTAACTAAAGCTCATCAAACAAGCTTTATTTCAAGCACCCCTCACCACCATTTTGAAGCACAGGATGCTGAACACACATGACGCTGCAGGCGCTTTAATTAAAGTAGCTCTGCTCTCATGAGTACACCCCCCCCCACACACACCAAGTTTAACTGTAAATGCTTTCTGACACAGTTTTCCCTTTTGTTTATTTTACCTACTAAAAACAATTTCAATTTTGTTACGTAAAATTAAACTTGCAATATTACTTAAAGCTATTTCTGTATGTCTGTGTGAAAGTTTTTTTTTTCCTTTTTGGAAGACATGGATGCTGATTTATCTTTAAATGCTATTTGGAATATGAAGGAATATTCTCTGACCAGCTATTTGCAGTGCAGGGCTTGCGTTGTCAGAGCTGTGTCTCCATGTCCTTTGGTGGGAGCTGAAATTACGGATTTCAGCCACAATGCACAGTCAAGGGTAAGTTCTATTGTTTTATATTGGTATTAAAAACAAAGGATGCATTGTATGCATCCAACATCTCCGAATGCAAGTTTTAAAGATGGAGTGAAATAGTAAAAATGTATATTTTAGTCCTTTATTTGACACACAGTTTTGAAATTGTTTTTAGTCCATTATTTAATAACTGAAGTAGTTCACTTTGAATCATAATTCTTTTTTCAGTATCAGTAGATAATTTGCTAGAATGTCTATAGGGTTAAGTTGTTATTAAAAGAATCTGAAAATAGGCAGCAACACCTAATAACAGAAGTCATGTGCTCTGCTTTTAAGTTTCAAATAAGAAATTTAATCTTTACTTTTGGCACTAACAAAATGTTAATCAGACCCTGTTGTACATTAGAGCAATAAACATCGCATAAAAGTAGTCACCAGCAAAGAATTTGACAAGTGTCTTATTTCCAACTGTACTAAATTGTCACTAGGTCTCCTTGCAAACCAAAAAGTAAAACTATGCACATTTTATGTTACCCTTGATGATTTTGGTTCCTAGTTTAGGGTAAAACCAAAGCGAGCAGTGTACAGGATGAGCCTTTCCTGAATTCCTGTAGTTGAATGGAAAGTTTTAGCACAAAGTTAGTGAAGACTGAGTTGGGATCTTAAGATTTTGCCCTATGCACTGTTGCTCCTTTTATAAAGAGTTTGCATTATGCTAGGGTATGTACAGGTGTTCGGAAGGGTTAGTGCGTCCAAAGAATGAGGTGCCTGATATAAGTTCACTTCAGGAGGTGTGCTAACGTAGATTGAGAAAGGGTTAACTCAGTCTCCTGAGCGCCTGCACATGGTTGCAGCAAAGCCCTGGGGCTGGGAAATCGCAGCCCTTAGTCTCAGTGCCAGGGCTGTGCTGTTCCCACCCCTCCCCTCACAGATCACGACCGAGCTATTTTTATTCCCCCCCACACCAACAAACTTTCACCACTGCTTCCCGCCTGAAGACCCACCAATCCCACCGCAGACCTGCTATCCCACCAGCCGCTCCCCCACACTGTGTCACTTACATTGGGCTCCCCACATGGCTCCGGGGAGCGGCAAACAGTTGTATGTGCCACTCCCACTCTGCGTTTAGGCAGCATAAAGTAAGCTGCGTGGACGTAGACTGGGTAAGGTGAATGGCTGTACGTAACCTTAAATGACAGAATATGATACACTGAGGATGGAACTTGTATCTGAATGGTTATGCTGTGTACTACTCCACAAGTATTGGTAGTTCAAACTATTTTACTTTTTAAAGCACGTTAGAATTTACATTAAATGAAAGATACCGGTACTATGAAAATAGAAGTGCACTGTATGAGTGAACTCGGCCAACAATATGAAATAGCTGATTATTTTAACTGAGAGAAAACAAATCCATGTTTTACCTTATTATTTACATTTTTAACAGTAGCCTTTTATTTTAGCGCATTTTTAAGTAATGAGTCTTTGTGCCGGGAAATCTCAAGTATTGTGTTTCATCCTTCTGATGGTTTCTGTTGGAGAAGTAGTTTGTACAGGAAATGTCAGCATTCTTAGTGATATTGCAAAGTAAAATAGACAACTTCAAGAAATGTTGATTTTTTTTTTTATTTTTTTTTTTTTAATACCAGGTGCGTCCTGTATAGCTATATAATCAGCTGCCATTAGATTTACATACTTTGTATTTTTATTGCAGTGCAGAATAAACAGGTGTTATGTTTTTTAGCCTACTTGCAGGTCTTAACCTCTTCTTTCCTTTTTTTAATAGCTGGCAGCACTCCCATTTATTGATGGTGTAGGATTTTTA